ATAAGGAAAAGGAAACGATGATCAACTAAATCTAACATATACAATAATTGTAAGGTTACTTGTACTGAGGACAAGTGACAATTAGCTCGAGATGAGCTACTTGAAGAAACTGGTCTACAATTCTTAACAATGATCGATGTTTATAATAATATGTTGACGCATAAAATGAAACAATCCCGTGTAGCCCAAAAAATATTGTATTACATTTCATGTAACAAAGCGTTTAAACATCCGCGACATCGCTCCAATAATTCCTATAAGGTAACATACACGTCTAACACAATGCCTTGCATTCAATTTTATATTTATTGGCAACATACATTTCTAAAAATGTGTATTAATTATCTAATTTAAATATCGTTTAGTAGAGTTACTATGAGACCTCTTTCATAATCCGTTAAGGATTATGTTAAAAGTTGTTCCAAGTACATAGACATGGAGTATATATTAGTATATTTGGTTATTTCTTTAGTTAACTACCACAATAGCATAGGACAAAGAAAACACTACACATGCAGACACTAAAAAATATGTTGCCCCTATACAATTTCAAGGCTGGCAAAAAAAATTATTGCTACATTACACCATTGGTTACAAACATCCTATTCTAGACGCAAATAATCGCATATAAAACGATCTACACACGAACCTAAAATCAGGGAAATATTGAAGCAGTGGTCGGGGTAAATCTGATGGCGGGCACATTGACGTGAAATCAACTCCGATGTCGCTACACAAGAGACGATCTAGGGCACTCCCCATCATTGTTTCGATATTACATTTGAGTTTAGGTTCGGAAGTCGTTTAAAGGTAAAATATGAGAACTTCAAGAGAAAATAACGATTGATTTAGATAATAAGACCGCACCATATCTACTAAGTAGAGCTTGCGATATATGATTTTTCACAGACAAGGGACACAATTATTAATATTGAGTATTCATTAATATAAATTAAAAAATACAATACTGTGAAATATTTTGAATTAGGTACCTAGTGTCACCTATTGATTATTTGTTGTTCTGAATCCGGTTAATATTTAATACCTAATCAACTTTGGCATCAAAGTAAATCTCATTTTATGGTGCATAGTATATTTTTTACAAAATTTTTTTTGGCAATATAAACAATAGAGTACCTAAAACAATTACACATACACTAATAACATGTATAACTACGGCAAGCGACATGATATTAACATGTAAGTTTATACGAATAGTTTCAGTATCTATGATAATCATATTATAAATATACATGGACAGGAACCTTAAAATATAAATCTAGACAAATAGGTTGTTATATAAGGTATATGTTCCTTTCTAATAGCATAGAATAAATATTACTACATGTGTATGTAGTATTTATATATGTAGTAATTGTAAAAACAAGACATACCTAATAGCAAAGGGACAGAGAACGATTTTCTATTATGAATATTGGGATTAAAAAGTGCATAGCATAGAATATTTATATATATAGTTTTACATTTTAAAGGAGATATATATTTATAGTAACATAATTAATAATGGAAAAAATCCTTCAGTTTTCAAATATGTGTACTCGTATTTACGTTAACTATTTGATGTTTAATATTATATTTAAAGTTACATACTATTTTATTGACTATATAGTATGTAATATTTTTAATCGATATTTTAAAGATGAAATTGAGATTAAAATTTAATTCTATATCCAACCAGGATGCATCAGATAGTAATATTTAAATATGTAACCATGGCATGAGGATTTAACTAGTCTTAAAACGCTGTAGGTTAAATTTGATTGTATACTTATGAAGTTATAAATTATTAAACTCGAAGATGAAAATAACTAAGTTATCTCAGTTATATACACAGTCGAATTATATTCATGAACATTTCAGCTATATTATGATAGGTAGACTGATACAGAGTAGGCTGGGTAGATAAAAATATGCATAGATTTGTTTTGAGCAGTTATAAAGATCAATATTTAGTTATTAAGCGCAATATACATGTGCACATATATAACGACTAGAACTTTCAAGCCACTTTTGATTATATTTCACATTATAATATAGTTAATATTAATTTACAACTTATTTACTAACCATCTTACTCCAATGGCAGTATCATTTATTACACGATAACAGTAAAGCTATATTTACTATAATACCTATATAAAGATATATTCATAATAGTACTACTGACATTCTGTGACATTTTTATATTTCGTCCTTAAATGAAATTGAATTTCGACATTGAATCTTTAATCAGAACGCCATGTTGACCTATTCTAAATTTAAATCAGGAAATAATTATCTGGATGTCAGTTGTAATACAAAGCCGTGTGTTCTATTTCTTTGGCATTTATTTTTTTTAATGTCACGATGGATTATATTGAAGTAATGGAAGTAATGTTCCCATTGAACTTTACGCTGGTGTTATTCGATCATCGAAATGCATAATTCAGTCTCGAGTTACATTTAAGTACTATCAATTTTATGTCAGTAGGATTACTAGTATTATTAAATTATTAACCATTATTATATATATTCAAAGATAGATACTTGATGTGTTGTAAACCATGTATATAGCGATATTTAGAAATACTCCATAATAAATATATTATCTTAGCTGTGGTAAAACGTCACCAACATTTTAACTACATATTTTTTAAATTTACAATATTAATACGACAAGACTATAAAAATGAATAGGGCACAACGTATAACTAAATCAAAAGGCAATATAAATCTGTCTGTTAATATTCTACAGAACTCTAAGGGGATAACAAAGTAAAGTTATCGTTACAGAATCACGTGTATTCAATTTATAATACAATTTTATATAATAAAAGAATCCATTATAATATAAACAAAGTATTTATTATAATATTGTACTTTTTCTATTCTACTGTATTGGCCTCACTATTTGCTTTCATGTTTTTATTATAGATACAAATATTGCATAAAGCGTTACAATATAATATTAATTTAATTTAAACACTAACGTTATTATTTTTTATTATCTACTTATTTACAAGATTTGGCTTTAACATTTTTAAGACAAATATCTTTATTATCTTTTATATATTATAAAATTGTTTTCTTTTTGTATGAGATATGTGAATAATTTTGATTAAGTAAAAAATTAAGTAAGATATTTATTAATAGTCGAATTGTAAATAATTATAAAATTAATTGTATCCACAATAACAGTTGTTATAAATACATACTTATACGAAATTTGGAATATTCAGAGAAAGTTAATCATATACCTACTTACTTACGGAAATACATAAATACTAATTTTATAAACTATAACTTTTGAAAAAAATTATACTATACATTATTAATTTTTTCTATTAATAAAATAATGTCAATAATATGGCATATTAGTCATAGTTGACATAAAAAAAATACCGTATTATAAGAAGTTTTGGTATTCATATATATAGTTACAATATATAACAATTTTCATAGTTTCATAGTTCATAGGTGATATATTATATTATAAAAATACTTATATAATAAAAAATACATGTCATAATTAATTACAGATATGTACTTATATAATAAATATACAGTTAACCAGGATATATATATATTGTAATAGTATGTGGTTAAGATAAAAAAAACAGTTATTAATTTTACATACCATAAAAAACATCTTTTCAAATATACAGATCTCATCATTTATTTATACATTTTTCAATAACACTGGTATTATTATATACTAATTTTATATATCAGTTACTATTTCAATGTTGAACACATACAATGGCAATTTTATCCGTATGCACATACATTCAATTCATAATAACTACACACGTTTACAATATAGGTAAATACAGTCTAAAGCTGAAGTATGATAGGTATAAGGATAGAAATTTCATATGTAGTATCGATATGCCAAGAGTATAAGAACGGATATTATGAGAAATACGACTACTTAGATCGGTTAATAGTGATTATGTTTTAAGTTTATATATGTTTACAAAGCACACACATTAAGCATAATAATATACAAGGTGGCATCGATAATCTCGAAGATTGAAAATGGGGAAGTAAATTTTAATGTCAATTCAGTATAAAAAATTTTGTGTCGCAATATTGAAATGAAAAGCAGCATATGTGTATAACATAACTCTTAAAAATAACCTTTACACTTATCTTACCTTGATATCAAAGATTATAAATATATTTTATGACAAATGGATAGGTACACTTATTGATTGATTTAATAAATTCTTTTAACAAATTTGATGCCACCTAGTGTAAATAGGAGAATAATTCTACTATATATAAATAAAATTACAATTACAAACATAAATTCTATATCACAAAAGTAACGTAGAACTCTAGAAAAAACGAATGTGAAACAAAGTGATACTGGGTGTTGAAGGACGAGTACTTAGTGAACACTAAACCCGAATCTAAACTTACACTTAAACAAGTCCAATGAACAAAGTAGCGCAAAATAAACGAGTACTCGTCACACTACCCGCCGCTAGCTGACACTAAACATCCGTCTGTGAACACACACCATGCAATTACAAGAATTGTTCCGAAAACTGACAGTAGTTCACTCAATTGACTAAAACGTTTATTGATCTAGCTATTGAACATTTTCACTGTGGGGAAGATATTGAAAAGAATGACAAATGTTTACAATAAACTTACGTATTACTTATTACTTCTCCCCATTATTTTCGTTCTGAGAACTTTACTACAAAGTTACAAAATGTTACTTAGCTAAGTGAAACCTCTTTATAAATAGAGATCATGTTTAAAAACTAATCAAATTAATAAGTAGCATCAGGTAGAATTTAGGAAAGAAATAACAGCAACTGTTAAAAGTGTTTCCACTTCCATTACTTAAACGTTTTAATTTAATATAAAGAAGTACCACAAAAAAGGTACCTACAAATTGATATGGCAATTACGTCAAGAGGTTAAGAAGTATTTATAAAAATAAATCACCACAGAATTTAAGTGTATTGGATAGCTATTTTCCCGTCATAACATCCCGGTCAATTTTCTTCTACTGTCAGTAATTAGAAATCGTATTCAAACATTGCAATTTAAGTGGTAGACGGTGACAACTTTTCTTGCTCTTGCTTCCGTGATTGCCTCATCCTGCTAGCGACGACTCGACCTCTGGCGGTCGGTGAAGGAGTGCCTCATTTATTTGCGCACCCCGCGCTATGGGTCAACCTCATGGCAGACTTCCATGTAATCAGGATCATGCATGATGTCCTTGATCATATCTTTCAGCATAGTGTACCGAGGAAACATCGGGTATATTTTCGAGCTGACGTACTCTGACTGAAACATAATAGAAATTTGTTTCTTTTTAAAAATGTATTATATCTAATTTTGTAAGTGTAATATCTAATTTTGGTATGTACACGTGTTAGTTAAAGAAGAACATAGTCGACTTTTTTAATGCCGGATATTAACATTTCAATATTAAAATGTCAGGAAAAAAATAAAACCAAATTTATATGTTAGATTCTCAAACAAATGCCAACAACTTATGCTCTACAGACAAGAATGATATTTTGAATATGAGCAATTTACCTGTAGATCAAACTTATTTAGAATTTATAGTATTTAGTCGAATACATTGATATTTTATACTACAAAAAAAAAAAAAAGAAATAAACTATTTATTCGGACTACTTTTTTTATTGTGGCGAAAGGAACTTTGTCTGCCTATTGCGATTTCTTTACCTTTGCCCTAATTGAGATTTCTCGTGAAGATTGTTCGAAGTAAGAAGAATATTGTTTTATAATATTAGGAAAGAAATTTATTATTAGCCATTTAATTCTACATTAGTATAATAAATATCACGTTACTATAATTTACGTATAATAGTACATGTTAAGAAAGAGCTTTTTATTTCTTAAAATTCAATTTTGAGTTATATACGATTCACCTAAGGAGCCTTTCAAATCAGATCATACACAAAATTTAGAGAGTAATCAGAATTTATATTAAGTGATGTATATAATTATATATACATCACTTAATATAAATTTGGAGCATATATTAATTTCAATCAAGTCCGGCTATTAATTAGTATTTTATATTCTTAATAATAAAACTGGATATAGGTAATCATCACAGATATAATAAGATAGGCATCCGAATTGTATTTATAACAATATGCATCTAATATAAAGTTAATGCCAATTATAGATTTGGAACATTATATACTAGCAGGTATAACTTTTATACGATAAAAGGATATTATAGGAAATAGGGCTTTTTAATTGAGACAACTGAACACTATAATCACTTATATATTTATCTTTTATTTTAATACTAGGAAGCCAATATGCGTCCGCTCTTTACAGTGTACAAAACAAGAGTGAGGGACCGTCTTACAGTGGTTATAAAGAAAACTAGGTCAACCTCAATATAAATATATATGTAGGTAGATATAATTCTATTTAGTCACTCAATCAGTTGAGATGTTAATTTTTGCATTTTAATACAATTAAATCAACACGCCCCCTCAAAAAATTAACCGTTCATTACAATCACTAGAATACAATCGTTAAATTATATAATTGCAGAATACATTTGACTTCCAAGTAATTGCTGGGAGTAATACAATAATATGGCCCAACATTTGTTGCTTTGGATTAGGGAAACCCAGTAAAACCTAATCAGACCATTAAACTTAACTCTAATTAAAACACAATATAATCATTCAAATATTAGATACATAATTATGACACTTTATTCTAAGCCTATTTTGGTTCTCAGTTCTTGAAAACTGATCGCTGGCAACGGCTTAGTTAATGCATCAGCCAACTGTTGACCTGTGGGAATATAAATTAATTTAATTACATTTTTCTCAACCTGTTCTCTGGAAAAATGATATTTAATGTCAATATGTTTTGACCTTTTGTGATTGGTTGGATTATTTGCAATGCTAATACAACCATTGTTATCCTCATAAATTACTATAGGATCTGTGATATTTATATTTATGCTTATTGCTAGAGACTTAAGCCACAAGGCTTCCCTTACAGCTTCATACAGAGCCATATACTCAGCCTCAGTAGAAGAGGCTGCCACTGACATTTGTCTTTTTGTACTCCAGGATATTGTACACTGCTTAAATAATTTAAACAAATAACCAGTAGTACTTTTCCTGTTATTAGTATCACTACCTCCCCAATCAGAGTCAACATAGCCACATAAAATAGTATCATATTTGCATCTTTTATAAGTTAATTTTAAGCCTATGGTTCCCTTTAAATACCGGAGTACTCTTTTAAGACAACTCCATAATTCTTTATTATTTTTATTTGTATACCTACTCAATATATTTACACTTGTACTTAAGTCAGGACGGGTACACAACATGATATACATTAAACATCCTATAACGTTCCTACAAGGTGCATTATATTTGTCATCACAGTTTAAAGCCTCATAATTTAGTTTATTTTCCAAAGGCGTACTGACAGGCTTACAATCCTGCATATTAAACTTATTTAATACTGTGTTAATATATGCACTTTGGTCTAACGTTATTTTATCGTCATTTCTCATAATTCTAATGCCTAAAAATAATTTAATTTCATTCAGATCTGACATTTTAAATTTACTCATTAAATAACTTTTAAAATTATTCATAGTTTGTATATCATAACATGCCACAACCACGTCATCAACATAAAGTACCACATATATATTTTTATTAATATTTCCTTTGTCCAATATATAAATACACCGATCGACTAATGAATTTTGAAAACCTTTGTTTTTAAGTGATTGTTCAAATACCTCAAACCAGCACCTAGCCGCCTGTTTCAGTCCGTACAATGATTTATTTAGCTTACAGACATAATTTGTGTTACAATTTACACCTTTAGGAACTTCCATATATATTTCCTCTTTTAAATTACCATTTAAAAACGCGGTCTTAACGTCCATATGATGAACTAATAGATTAAATTGATTAGCAAAACTAATTATCAATCTGAAACTAGCTATTCTAGCGACAGGCGCGAAAGTCTCATTGTAATCTGTCAAATATTGTTGACTGAAACCTCTGGCAACAAGACGTGCTTTATATCGTGAAGGTTTTCCAAACTCATCATTCTTTATTGTAAATATCCATTTACAATCGACAATATTTTTATTACATGGCCTAGGAACTAAAGTCCACGTATTGTTTATATTAAGAGAATTTAATTCATCTTTTATTGCGACTTCCCATTTAATTTTATCATCGCGAGTTTTAATTTCGTCATAACAACTCGGTACTTCAAACGATTGAACACACATTAAACTATAATCATCATCATTTTCCTTATAAGATATAGGGGCACGATTTTTAAGCCTTTCACTCCTTCTAATGTGAGAACTATTATCTGTGTTTTGACTATTAATAAGACTATTATCAGGTATTTTTGGTGACTTCACTAAGTCATTGCTTATTATGCGAATTTTGCTAGGACAATTATGCCCATCAGATTTTAATATATCTGATTTAGGACTGTCAGAGTGATGATACCTCAAAGACACTGATTTAGACTGTACGTCACAAATATCAGTTTTGTCACAGGAATGTTTACCATTCCCTTCAGACTTCAAGGTTGGCCTTGAATTAATAAAATTGGTCTCATCCACAATGACATCCCGAACAGTAACGTATTTTTCGCATTTTGTATCCCAAACTTTATATCCGTTTGGTTCATAACCCACCAGTATACCTTTCCATGATTTGTCATCAAATTTTGTTTTACAAATTTTATTATGTACATAAACTGTTGATCCGAAAACCTTTAAATACTTTATTTGAGGTTTTTTATTATGCCACATCTCAAATGGAGTTCGAGTTTTATTCAATGACCTAGTGGGTGTCAAATTTATTAAATAAACCGCAGTTAATACTGCGTCACCCCAAAAAACTTTACTTAATTTAGCACCGTTTAACATACACCGGGCTTTTTCAGTTATAGTTCTAACCATTCGTTCCGAAACTCCATTTTGTTGCGGAGTCCTCGGAACTGATAAATGATAAGTAATACCTTTTTCTACACAATAGTTTTTCATTTCAGTAGATAAATATTCTCTACCGTTATCAATATATAAATTAACTAATTTTAAATTAAATTTAGCTTCACTTTTGGCAACATAGTCTTTAAAAACAGAGAACACATCTGATTTGTATGTTATTACATACGTAACACAGTAATGAGTATATTGATCAACGAACAATACAAAATAGTTTTTATTGTCTACAGTTGAAGGAGTGATAGGGCCACATACGTCCGAATGAACAACAAATAATGGTCGCTGAATATGACTTTTATCTTTACAATTATTAAACGGAAGTCGCGTCTGTTTCCCACTTATGCAAGCTTCACATAAACTATTATTGGGTACCACAGTTTCAATTTCTTTTAATCCCTCAACCATTTCATTACTCTTTAATTCTATAAATTTATTTTTACTTATATGACCAAAGCGTTGGTGCCATAATTCATAATTATTCTTTTGTGAGTTGCATATTTGAGACACAGAGATATTTGCTTTTACACGTATTATAAAATCTAGAGCAATTAAATTATTGTAAGACCTACCTTTCATTATAATCTTACCATCCTTGCATATCTGGGTACCATGCTGATCAAAAATAATTGTCAAACCAGCTTGTTGCATCTTCGAGACGGATAATAAATTATAAGGAACTTCCTTACAATACAGCACATCTTGTAAGGTACCTGGAATACCCGCGTCGCTTATAACATTTATTGCACCCTTCTTTGTAGCTGAAACAAATTCACTATTTTTAGCAATGGAAATTTTATGAGGAGGATTTAAATTTATAAAATTAATAAAAATATCATCCCTGTTAATAATGTGGTCGGATGCACCAGAATCCAATAAAAATGTGATTTTATTTTTGTTTTCACATTGTCCATAATCGCCGGTCATAAAAGCAAAACTAGAATAACTTGACGAGGGAACTTGATTAAGTTCCACCGACTGAATTGTTCTACTTCTTTTAGCATCTGAAGGTTTGTCTTGATTCATCCTTTTAAAATAATAACAATCCTTCTTTAAATGTCCCTTGCGTCCACAATGAAAACATTTTATAAACTGAAACTTATTATTTCTTGATGTTTTATTTTTGTACGATGATTTGAAGTTTTCGACTTTTCGTTTTCTATATGATTCGGATTTATTTTCTACTTGGAGTATTTTGACACTTGTATCACAACATTCATTTTTCAGTTTCACTTCATGATCTAATAGTCTCGTCTTCACGAATGCTAAAGTTAAATTATCTTCCGACAACGTCTCAATTGCAGTTATAACACCATCGTATGTTGTGGGTAGTGTAAGTAATAAATGTGAAATTCTATCGGTTTCTTCTAAGTTGGCACCTGCTGCCAACAATTCCGTAATCAAGTCATCAAAAACGGCAAAATGTTTTATCAATGTCGTATCACCTTGTAGTTTTAATCCTAATATTTTTTTTCTTAAAGCTAATTGAGTCGCAATACTTTTACGCTGATAAAGTGAATCCAAGTTATGTAATATTTCCCTTGCTGTTATATTTTCTTTTGCAAAACTAAGATAAGAATCACATAAATACTCAACAATGGTACTTTTCGCAATACGGTTCTTTGTTTCCCACTCACTGCATCGTATTTCCGGATCTTCGTCGATAACTTTTATCACGTCCATTTCACTCAACAATGCACGAATTCTAAATTTCCAGATACTGTATTTTTCACCATTAAAAGGTTTTATATTTCTTCTATTCTTCATGTTTTCCATTATAAAAAAAATATTGAAAAAGAGGGTAAATTAATTTTTAACGGAACGGAACTATTTCTAGTACTAAATTAATTTAATCACGTTATCTGGGCCCATAACCTATAGGAAATAGGGCTTTTTAATTGAGACAACTGAACACTATAATCACTTATATATTTATCTTTTATTTTAATACTAGGAAGCCAATATGCGTCCGCTCTTTACAGTGTACAAAACAAGAGTGAGGGACCGTCTTACAGTGGTTATAAAGAAAACTAGGTCAACCTCAATATAAATATATATGTAGGTAGATATAATTCTATTTAGTCACTCAATCAGTTGAGATGTTAATTTTTGCATTTTAATACAATTAAATCAACAGATATAATTAAATAAATAGGCTAATATTCACTGTACCTTGAGTTCCCTGATGAGATTCCGCAATCCAGTATATTTTTTCAGAAGTCGGTATAAATCATTTGTCATTTGCGTATTCTCGGCTTCTATTTGAGATGTTGTCATATCTGGAAATTTTAATTTGCTTGATTATCATATTATTATTATATCATATTATCATAATCATTTATATATAGGTACATATATTATTTAGTATCTATATTAAATATATACTATTAGTCAGTACTTGCCTATACTTTAATAAATAAGTAAAATATTTTAATTTAATTAATCATTTAATATTTGAAACAAAGGCAATAAAGAAGCAAGGCTAAGTATTCCATCCATAATATTGAGATAAAAATTTGTACAAGATTTCAAAGTACAAGTCACCCGCAAAGTTTCACGTATACGTGACGCTTAACGTCAATAAATGTGGCACATCAACCAGGGTTACCTTTATTATCTTATATAAAAGATATATAATTATATTATTTAAATATTAAACCAAATTCTTTTAACTGAAAGATGTAAGTACATATAGTTCATATAATCAAATTAAAGTATCTTTGCTCTAAATGGATTAAAATTAAACCTACTACTACTAAATATAACAGGTGAATTCTGATTAATTTGGAATTTAGTTTCTACCGAGAAGAATTTCGAAGAGCTGTTTCCAAATAAAATGGTGTAATATAATAATAATAAAAATTAATATTTTAATTTGGGATGAAAAATGAGATAACTAGCATAATATGAAACAAAATTAACTCCATTATCAAACGTAACAAAATACTGTAATCACACGCAGTAAATTAATCAAATTGAGATTATACTTTTTCTGACCATTACAGATAAAAATTATAATTTATTAATAAAAGAATTCTATTTATTTATAAAGTCTTTATAGCACCATATAACAATTACAAAGAATATTACTGTGATGAATAATAAGGGACAAAAAGCTACCTTATCGTATAAGCAATATTCTATCTATTTTATTTTCTATTTTAAAATCAAATGCCAATATAACAATAGTAATATATAATAGACTTGCTATAAAAGTCTGTAGACTGCTGGGTATATCGGCAAAGCCGTAGAACTAATACCAATATTGAATGTAAACTACATTTACCCAACCCTAGCTCAGTTTCCAGTCCAATCCCCCGACGGCACGGTTTGCGTCTCAATTCGTTTTATTATTCGTGCTTAATTCATACTTAGAAGGGAGCTCATGGGCTCCCACAATATTTAATTTGGATTCAAGAAGACACTTTAATTGATTTCGAAATCGTTTCCCGTTGGAAATATCATGCGGTTTTTTGATTTCTGCGAATCTTTATTTAAAACACAGATCTGCGCCCACACCAGAGAATGAAACAAAGGGTCCGTTACAACTTAAAAAGAAATCATAATGAAATCTAAAGAATAGAAGATGTGAAATAAAATACGATTCCCTATCTATAATAGTTTATAAGTTTAGTTTAATTAAATGTTTAATTTTATAAATACTTGCATTCAGAAGTATAACTGCCTGTCCACCTATTTGTTATCATAACGCATTTATGATGATTGTTTATCTATCTTTAAAAAATACATTAAGTCGCGGTTACGAGCAAGTATGTTAAAAAGAAAAATGAAATATAAATTCTTGCAAATATCGTATCTTTGTAATTACTAGCTTACAGCTCACGTTGTAATAAAAATAATACATTACCATTTAATCTCTCTATCCGCTCCCTTCTATCTGCCGCCTCTTCCGCCAGCTTTGAAGATGTCTTCACACCTTCTCCAGACTTTTGTGTCTTCTCCATGATGGCGCATGCACGGAGCACAAATGCTGGAACTGTCTCCGCCTTCTCTTGTCGTGGAATCTCAACCAGCGACCAGTACTGGGTTTCGAGGCGAATCACATCCTGGAAAATTCAGTGATCTGTGATGGAAAACTGTGTGATGAGGTAATCTGTGAATTTTATATAAAATAATAAATTATTTAAAATGCAGAAGAAAGGTAGGGTATAAGATATGACTAAAGTAGATACCCTGTTCTAACTATTGAAGTATTTTGTAAGGAATTGAAGACAACTCTATATACATTACATACTATATATTACAGTTTTTTTATTAAATATATAACAAGGTTTGGTCACCTGTCAAGTCGATCAGGTCGGGTCCGGATCAGGTTAATGTATCATTTGTCAGTTATAATCAATTCCATACAGAGTTTTCAAATCCCTTAATTTTATTAATCCACCAGTTTTATAAACAAATATGAAATGAAGTTCCTTCCACTGAGTTTATTTAAACTTTAAATTTATAACTGATAAACATACTGATACTAAACTCAAAATTGTTATATATACTCAAAATTATATTAATTAATTAAATGGATCGGAACAAAGCAACTTTATAGGTATAGTGAGTTCTAAGTAACTATATCCTAGGACAGTAGATTCTGGGAAAATCGCTCATTTTTATCACAAACGAGCCGGTAACAGGTAAAGTTTAAAGCCAGCTCTGCTCAAACTGGTAACATTTGTAACAAGGCTTGTTGTTATTATGATCGAACTGAGTTGGAAACTGTTCCATTGTCCTCAACGCCGCCTATTAGTCGGCGTTTATATCGTCACTAACTTTCGCAGGAAAACTGTATTTTACATAACTCATAATGGAACTCTTTTATATTTTTTGAACTCATAAAAGACACACAGGAAGCCAAGAGGAATTTATAAATCATTGCAGTTAGCGTTTTTATGTATCTATCTAACCCAGGACAGGCTTTACAAATGTTTTATTTTCGCTGCAAAATAACCGTCCATTGATGGAAAGAGGTAACCCTTGCATAAGGTAGGTACAGAATCACTGATATTATCAAGACTTCAAACAGAAACAGTAGCTACTTAGTAGATTCAGTAACTTATTCAAGTATTTGTGACGAAAAGATGATTGTGGATATGACATTGAAATTAGAACATAAACCTTTTTTATTTGTTTACCACTACAAAATATAAATTTATACACATTATAATGTAGTCCCCATCTAGCCTGTAACATCTACTTCATATAAACAATATTACAGTTCAATGAATGTATGTTTCAGTAGAATTTTCAGTCGACCCCTGGCAAAAACAGGTGGGAAAATCACCCAGCGGAATTAACAAAGCGAGGACTGTGTATAAATGTCTGTCTAGTTATATTTACTAGTATAATATTGGCACTAGCACAAAAAGACAAATACAACAACACATAAAACATAGAATTAAATTTAAATTACATTAAAAAAACATTAAAAACAAAAAATACGGAGAGCATTGTGCTTTTCAAATTAAGTAGTAGTCGGGGACTAATCTTACACAGCCAGTTCAACTGAACCTCGACTACCACGGAACGGCTTGCATTCATTCATGACTTAAAGTGGATAAGTTTTCCTGGACTACAGCCAGTTCCAGTAGATAAAGACCTTCTTTGCGCCGACTGCTTGTCTTAATAAAATAACAATAAAATTCTTTGGTTAAGCAAATGACATTAGTTACACGAAAGTCCTTATTTTTTAAAGGAAATGCTTCTTATAGAATAATATTTGAAATTCAATTGTAGTATATATCTTCTTGTTTTGTATTTATCAACTGGTCTAGCAGTGAAATGTAATATTGACTTTTATTTTAATTGTTAATTGAACAAAAGTGAAGCTGTATATGTAAACATGCTTATAGTTTTATAAACAAATGAGATAGGAAACTGTTGTAATATTTTTAGACAATATTAATTACCTTTTTTTTCTCACATTTATTAAATAAACAGGTTACATTGGCTTTTATTATTTCAAATAGGATACAAAACACATACACAAATAATATTGATACTAAAAACTTGACGTTCATAAGCGGCTAAAATGTCCTACTTGAATAATTAATTTTAATTTTAGTAAAGATTTTTAATTTGATTTGAAATTATACGAAGTTATAGGAATACGTGAACCGAATTCTACATGAACATAAGCCTTAAAAATAAATTTGTTTCTATACTGTTATACGTCGATAATTGCTTGCGGAAACGAGCACTGGGTGCAAAAATGAAGTGTATTATTTGTTTAGAGCATGGTTATACAGGTTTTTCTGTCGTTTTTAGCGTATTGTATAGGAAATTTGTTTATGATAATAACAGAACAGGACAGAAACCTTGCTATGAGAACAAAAGAGACTGTAATTATTTTTTTGTGCACAAATATACTTTTAGAACGCTTTTTTTCGGTTTTAATTTAAGGTACACTTGAGACAATATTAGCATCCAGCAACGTATAATTCTATAGAAGGAAGTTTTTCCGACAATCTTCAAGGGGTTAGGCAAACAAAATGAACAACTGTGAGCGCTTTTTTACGATTTTGTCTGTTTCTTTCTTTATTTTGTTAGGTAGTAACAGTTTTATTGAGTTTTATTAAATTTATGTAATAAATAGAGTCGAGTCAATTTATTTTACGACTAGCTGTGCTGGTGGTTTCAGTCAGGTGAAATTTATGGTCTATGTGTTCTCTTCTGATGTATAAGGTATAATATTGTAAAGTTTCATTAATATCCATCTGTCCATCCACACTCACAAACTTCTGCCTTATAATATTAGTAAGGTTAAGAAGCGGATCGGCCCGACTTCGCCTAAATAATATTTTATTAACGTGTAATGCGTATGCAAAGTTTTGTAAAAACCCGAATCAAACCTCAACCTGTAACTAACATATGAAAATTCGTTAAGTGTTTCCCTTTAATAGTTTTTTTAAATAATGTGTTTTGCTCTAATCGATAATAAGAAATATATAAAATACACACGCTGACTTTTTTTTATTCAAGGTAATACTAGATATTTATTTTTATCAAAAATAAAATAAAGAATTTTTAATATTATACGACAATTGTTGTTAATTTCAAGAATACGACCAAAAAGGTCAGTGGGGTTACGTAAAATTCTACACAGACTAATAGAAAATGTCTATTAATAAATTTTTACTCTTATTAGTAGTCGGTTTTTGGTAGAACATATTGTAAGGAATATATAAATGAAAATTATTATAGAAAAATAATCTAAAATTAATATATAAGCCTATAAAATTCCTAATAAAAATCTGTACGCTGACATTTTTTTAATGGATGTTTATGATATGACATATGGTGCCCACAGAAGATACTGGCATTGTACCATATCAGGTCGGCCGCTAACGTGATAGGGATGAAGTCAGGTCAATTTGCTTTATTATTAGCCCATCGTAGCGAATTCGTATAATGGGCTAATTGACATGACTTCCTCTTTATCATATCAGCGATCAACCTGACAAGGTAGTCCCAACTACTAATAATCTTATCCCTCCCCAGATCTTTGAAAAACTGTAATACATTTACTTTGCATGCCTCTACACTAATGGGTTGTATGTATAAGAAACTAAGTGGCTTTCTTTGAATAAATTGCATATTTATGAGTTCCTCCTTGGGGGTATGTTAATCTTGATTAAAAGATCAGTTGGATTACTTGCACAATGCTTTCTAGGGATTTGCAATTTGTCACATTGTCGGTGTACTTACTCAATGCTAATTAGTTATACTACGTCGAATTAATTAGCACGGATTTATATTTGTTTAATTTCTATGTATACGAGTATTACAGTAATTCTACAGTACCTGCCTTTAGTTAATCCATGAGTTCATTTCATATCATTGAACCATGTTAAAACCACAAGGTCCTAAGGGTACTATAAACTAAAACACTACACTCGTGTATATAAGGTTTATTGGTCGGTTTCAAATACAGGTACAGCTACAAAAATATTACAAATAACATATGAGACATCAATAAAACGAAACATTTCAATTTTGTTACAGCGCCATCTATTGGCGTTGAATGCAAACAGAAACTATTGTTTCACGCTTATTATCTATTTAAACCTTTAACACTTACTATTCATTCAGTTCATAGCATTAACCAATGTGTACGTATTTCTAAAATTCTTTCATTCTTTGACGGTACGTTGTTTTAGAATCTGTCCTAGCCTATATTAACCTAGAATCTTGGTGAACATATGCCTAATGATAACTGAGAAATGTTGGGATGAATAGCTATTTATTAGATAAAAACCTATTTTATTATGCAGTCCACTCACTTCTCATTTATTAGCTTAATAATATGAGTTGTAAAATATATTGGGTTGCGTATGTTGTAGTTGTAATATTGGTAAGTAGTTTAAAAATATGTTTTTATGATGAATACAAAGACTCCTATTTATCGGATTTACGATTTGGTTTCACGTTCTGTTGCCAATGTCGTGAAGACTCGTAAATGATTGAGTAAAAGGTGATTGATCGAGTCGTGAGACAGCACTAGTCGTGCCGATTGTATCTATCGATTTACAATTACTGGTGAGCTTTGATCATCCATCCGAGGACGTGTGCGGTAATGGTTGGCTGACATTTGACATTATTTCGGAGATCGAAATGCAACATGTTTAATTACATTGTGTGAAATTTTGTTACGTGAAGCACTATGTTGCGAACGATTCAGAATTTTTTTTATGGGACGGTAAAAAACATTTTAAATTTTACAGAACCAACTTCAAGTTAGAAGAAGAATTGAGATATAGAAAAAATATATAAAATGACACAATGTTGTTGTGTTACTATTTAGCGTGTTTGTGAAAAATTGCTGTATTGTGTATCCGTTTTTTTTTATATAAACTATAATTTATCAAGTAATAGTTTTCGAGTTATTATATAATTATGTACACGTATTTTTATATTTACACTTATTTCAATAACAGAGCCAACACAGAGTTTTATTGTCGAAAAGATAAAAATGGCTTCCGCTTTTCAACCGACTCCATTAATACAGGTGATCCTTACTAATATTATAAAGAGGAAGGATAGGAATACTTCTACATGATCTATGATGACTTTAGGCGATAGAATATTTTCAAAAACATTAGGGATCCGTATGAAATTTTAGATATGATAATATAAACCAACTTGTGAAAAAAATCGTTATATCGCGTACGCGTTAAGGATGTCAATATCAAAGTGTATATATATGTAAAAAATATATTTTTTGAAATTATTATATATTGTTAAATACCTTTAAGAAGCAGAGGCAGTAATAAACATAATTAGTCTGAACATAATTTTATATCTATATACAATTATATAGGTATAGGTGTTTCAACATTTTATATATTTCTATAATTATGCTCTATATATCTTTATTTTTCATAATTACAGTTGTCTTCTCCTGAAAGTGGATCTTGAATATTGGCAACCCTACACACGGAGAAACCTTTCCGCTTGGCAACACCACACGACACAATAAGCAGACGTGACCGGGTTTCAGCGGACGCTGTAAATAATATTCAACCCCGAAAACCGTTTGGTTATTTACAACGAGAGTGGAAAAGTTATTTATTAATAAGTAAACCGGCATGCGAAACGAAACACAAAACGTTTTGACAGCATTAAAGTCCTATATGCTATTCAGATATAATATATTCTGTGAATTAATTTGTATAAAAGGTACGCAAATATAAGCTCAAAATGTGCTTGATAGTAATTATATTATTTTAATTAGATTTTATAATAGATTTAATTAAAAATTTATGTTACGTTTAATTTTATTTACAGGTTGATTCATAGCTTGGCGACCTCGGTGGTCTAGCGGTTTAGCACACCGCCTTACTTTCGATGGTCACGGGCTCGATTCCTCGCACGGCAAAAACATGTAATCATGAGTATGATTGTTTGTATCGGTTTGGATGTGTTCTATGTATTTACTAAAGATAATATATCTGTGTATTTGTATCAGTTATCTAGTACCCATAGGACACACTTTAGCTAACTTAACTTGGGTCTAGATGGCACTGTGTAAATTGTCCTGAGATCATTATTTAATGCAGAACATTTTATTTATAATGTTTAACGTGTTATTAACGTTTAATTGTAGTATTGGTCAATTTTAATTTTATTTAAATAAGGAAATATTAATAATTCCATGATAATAAAAATATGAAATAAATAACGGTCTGCGAAGAATATGGCGAATATTCTTCGCAGACCGTAAACTGCTCACAGGAGGAGGTAAGGAAAGCATCATAAACGATACAGGAAAAAGGTTTTCGTAAACGAGAGCAATATAATTTGTTAGTATTGTGTTCTACAATATTGATAGAGTTAAATATCTAATTTGAAAAGAATAACTTCTTAATGGGCTAATTCCGAACTGAATCCTTTTAAAATCCTTTTTAAAAATTCTTGAAAGCAATCAAACTGTTTTTTTTATATTTTACTTTTTCATTCAAAGCACAACAGATATAATGACAGGCCAGAAATTCAGCAGAGTGCTGAATAGGGAGGGTCGTTTACGTGACTCGTTTACAATAAGGACGAGAATCGTCGAGCACGTACGCACCTCGCGAGATTGTTAACTAAGTTAGAATGTTTTCACACAATTATAGCTGTCCAGAAGAAAACTAGTTAGATTAGACTGGAACTTTTTGTCGGTTCTCGTTAGTATGGGAGTAAATAAGATTTTTTTTTGTTTAGGTACTAAATATATCTAAAATAATTGACAAACAATATGATTACTTACGTTATATAAAAAAAACCTTTATACAATATTACAAGCTTGTTAGATTATTTTTATTAAACTGATATTATATGATATATACCTAATCGATGAAAAGGTTTCGCCTATAGACATAGCTAAATACATTGTGAACTGTGTGGTACTTGTCTTCTCTGAGATCTATCTATCTAGTATCCTATTGACGAATTAAAATTAGTTAGGTATATAATTTAAAAGATTTAAGCGTTTAGACAATGTCGGCGACTTTGTATTATATGTTTTATATCTATGTAAATAGGAATTAATTATCTTTGTATATTTAATTAATAAATGCTATGCCTACCAAAGATTAACTAACTTTATCTACAAGCGACGCTTCTTGAAAATAGCTATTATGGGCTGTGCTTAATTTCTCAATGTAATTACTGCGAAGCCCGTGGCAAACAGAGGATAATTTAACTAGGTTCTGGAACATTCGCTCGCCTTTGCCATTACTTAGGTATTCATGAAACCTACAATACAACATGACACGCTTTGTGACTACTAAATTTAATTTGACATATATAATGTATTTGGTATAGCAATAGTTCCATAATTTTATCATGTATTCTAAATCATGTACTCTGGAATTCAATTATTTACCTAAAATTTCAACTTGAAGGGTGAACTTAGATTGCTCGTAGATTTTAGTTATCAACCACGTATAATGTATCACTATGGTCAAAATATCCAAGAATGAAGTATTAAGTAAATAAAAAATATACCTTTCAATGTACCTAATATATCCTGAAGAGGAACGATAAGAGGTGGAAATCCGGTCACTTATCCTAATCCTAACCCTAAGCTGATTAACCTAACCAACCATTGTGGAGTTGTCAACCTGATTCCCTGAACCTTAATATACTCTAAATTAGTAACAATGCTAACTAGACATTACTCCGGCCTAATATATCTCGTGACTATGTAATATCTTTAGAACGGTGCGGTGGTAGGTATTATTTCCACCTTACAACTATACTCGTACAAATACCTTAACAATATCACAGATGAGATGATATGACAATATAAATGTGACAGTAAATTTGTACAATTGTTATCCGTAGACGTCTTAATAGCTCTACTAATTTTTAGGAATGTTTTCAGCAGTTTGCTTCCAACAGTTTATTCATATCACTTAAAACTAAAAAAAATGTATAGTAGATCTGTAAATAAAAAATAGTTGTCTTTACCTTAATCATGGCCTTCAGCATAGGATATCTGGTGAACACATTCCTCTGGGATTTCGATTCGCTGTACCGCGCCATCAAGGTTACGAGTGCCTTCTTCGCCGTGTCATAGTTCTCATCGAGTCTTACTCGTACCGCCCGAAGCCTCTCATTCGTTTCGATCACCTCTTCCTTTGTCTGCCCGCCTGGTAATAATATTTCAATAAGTATCAGGAAGAGCAAACTAGCTAATGGAAATTACCAATCATCGGCTATCATCAACGATGTTCACTCATGATATCCTATCGCCAAGTAACGTCCTTGGTATTCCTCATATCCAAACATTGTGGTGTCCCACCAATTAAACAAACTTATTTCAACTAAACAAACAATAACAGTAATAGCAGAATGTAAAATAATATTCACAACTCTCGCTCCAATACTATAGTATCCAGAACCTCATTCTGTCACAAATTGGTACATAATGGTATTTCTTTTAGTTTTCTTTGAAAAGTTTTCACCAACAAACTAATGTGACAACGTAAATTATCACGTACAGTGCGATTTCAAGGGAGTTTCCTCTAGCGAACGCTCAGGTTGTGAAATGAGCTTCATGCCGAGGTTTTCCCCAGAGGCATGGTTCTTCAAAAGGGCGTAATAAGATTTCTTCAGGGTCGACAACGTGCGTGATGTGATATCTCTGATAAAGAGAGCGTTTATAGCCCAGTAAACGGATACTGTACCGATAATGCTCCAAATAGTGAACCGTCTCAACTTCATTCGATTTCTTTTTCACTTGTAATTCTTTAATATTATCCATACATGCATAAATACAAAATTTATATATAAAAATACCTATAAAAACGACCTAACTGGTATTGTCGGCAAAATTAAACGTTTGTTTTTTACGTGTTAGCCGCTTCTTTAATATGTATAATGATAATAAAATACCCTTTTTAACGTAACTGGAATGGCAAATAAGCTGACGGTAGGTACTTAGTGGTAAGTGGCAATTATCGCTACGGAGCGCCACGGATCGTGTGACGTCGTCACGTGACGCCCGTAGTACCTCTATTGCGTTGTCATTTCGGAGGTCTATAACTAAGAATACATCATACATATATCATATCTTCGAATACGTCTCCAGTGGATACCAGTGGGATACCAATGAGTTGTAATGATTATATAAAAAATATATTATATATACTAGCTTAGTAGTGAGATTACATTTTTTATGTACGTCACAGTTATTATATACGCCCCGTCGTCGCTATTGGATACGGGTGATATTGGGAGAATCAGATACTATTTGGACACAGAAAACTTAATGACATTTTAAGGGCAATTGTAGGTATTTGTGTTAATCTAAGAAAAAAGTGTCGAATAATGGATAAATGGAATTATACTCACTAGAAGTGCCCTCGTCTTTGACATCTTGAACTATCCGACGGACGCTCTGCGTGAATTTGCCCACTAAGTTCGTACTAGCTGTAACAAGGAAAAATAACAGTTCAAAATATGTGTAAATATTTATGTAGGTTTATAAACTAACGGTGTGATTTATGTAAATAAACTATAATACCGACATTGCCGTCACAGATAATGAGGGTTGACCTTCTAGAGCGGAATTTTATAGTTGTAGTCTAGTTCGTGAATTATTAAACACTGCACATTAAATATTGCCGTAAACTAAATACGTTTTGATGTTATTTGTAGTTCTAGAAATAAAGAAAATAGAAACAGACATATCATCAAAATCATCTAGTTCCAAAACTCCACAAACTAAATACAGCTAGACAAGTGAGGGACATATTTAAATATACTCACTTAAACACCAAGACCAATACAATTAGACATACTCAATACTCATAAATGCAAAGTATTTTATTGTGAGGAGTTCGACTACTGATAGAAGGTGAGGCAGTGTGTTGTATTATACATCAAACTCGGCAGAATAACAACAAAAACATCATAGAAAAAATTGCAAGGTTGAATATTTGCAGAGTTCATGCAACAAGTATTGTTATTGCTATTTCCCTCCTTTAGGGATTTCTCCGTAAAGGAGAGCGGGCCGCACATTTTTTCCGGGAATAAAATTTAAGGAGAATAAAACTTTAAAACTATATGTCTCCACTTTTACAAGTACAAAATGCACAAATTAATATATCTTGTAATTTATATCAAATGTGATTTATTAAATCTAAATTGTATAGAATGTAAAGAGGAAAGAAATATGATATTTTCCCTAAAAACGTAGGAAATAAGAAATCCATATTGAACAACGTATTACTACATTATTTCTTCAAGAATTCAATTGAAATAATCGTGAGCAGATGATCATAAAGCCAAAAATTATTTTCCAGTTGATCAGATATTTTGAGTGAAGTCCTCAAGTATTGTGCGATCTAGTGGAAACAAAGTTGGGACAGACTCTGAGTTTCCAACACGCTTGTGCACTCAGCGGGCAACTTGAGCTGCCTGAGCCGACCGAAAGCCGAGCGAATAAATGGACGATGAATAAACTCTCGGCTGATAAATGCCACAGATGGGACAACGGGAGTTTGTTCGCGAGAATTCCAAACAGTACCGATAAATATAGCAGTATCAAACTTCTGAAGTGTTTCGCTAATAGAAAATTACTTCTATTGCCGACAATTCGAAACAAAAACAATTTTTTTTCTATCACTTTTTCAAACAAATCAAAAGTTCAAGAAAGTAATAGGAAAAAAAAGTCCTCTGAAATTAATGTTGTTAAAACATACAGTTGTCTTTATATTAATATTAAAAGAGAAAATAATAGATTGTCTGTAAAATTTATTGTAATTTATGTTACAAAAATCAAGCTTCAGATTCAGTTCTGAAAAGAGTATGTAAAGAGAGAATTTGAATTATCTTACATACATTAAACTATGTTTGTTAGTCTCGTTAAAACTCAAGAACGACTATTTGATTCGTGTTCGATTTATTTTGTTAGTATACTATACTTGTTACATTTTTTTATCCTTTTTGTATATATGTTATATATTTTTATAAATGCGAGTGACATAGAATATCATTAGACATTGATTCAAATTCCCAGAGCTTTTTAATTATTCAATCCTGATGTCAGCGTGATGAGGCATTAAGTTGGTGACTCGTCGACGGGTGTCTCACATCAAGTAGAGTAATGGTGGATGCCATTACTATTATGTCTCAAGCTTCGTACTTGGAATTGAAAAAGTTTGACAGGCGTTCAGACGTGAGGAGATATTGCTTTGGCTTCAATGTGATTCATGCTACTTTTATTTAAAACGCTTTTTCGAGTTCCGTATCAAATGGGCAAAAATGTAACAGATTGGTGATTGTCCTTTTAAATTTTGAGTGATGATAAAATGAATATCAGTGTGACAAATATAAAAAAGTATGAATAATATCACTACGAGTACATTAGGAAATAGTCTCGTTCTGTATAGACTGCGAATTTTCTTTTTTAGGGCATTTTTCTTCAAATCCGAAGTTTCAACATTTGAATAAAAGCATTACGGCATATTAAGCAACAATCCAAAAATTATAACTCTGCTACGTATAGTACTTTGTCCATGCGTTATGTGACAGTGCAATATCAGTAATTCTAGCATCGGCATCCAGTTCTAGGAACCTTTATGGTGCAACTTTGTGTCCGAATCCGCTTGTCACAATGCCATTAAGCCATATTTCAGTAACTCTAATAGTTTCCAAATCGATAACGTTAGAGTATGTTTCCTTAGCTGGAGCATTCAATGTCGTTTCAAATTTCAAAGCATTGAATTATTCCACAAAGACTAAATGCATCCTGTATTTAATCTAATACTTAGCTAAATATAAAGCTCAAACATATCAACTCTTATTCATAAAAATACAAAAATTATCATTTCGTATACCGTTTGTAACTTATTTAAATTTTGAGAATAAGATTTCGATTAATGGAGCAAGCTAAAGAAAAATAAAGGTATGTAACCTGATATATCAGAAATCTAAAAAGAACCATATTCATACTAGAATTACATTATAGTCAGCCATAAATATATTTAATTATATTTTGAATAATCTATATTCTGCACCTAGTTGCCGCATAAAGGATTCATAAATTATTGTGTGAAAAGTGGAAGCACAACTTGTGTATTCATTCAGATCACTCCGGATGAGTTCATTATTGAATACGTTGTTTACATGCAATAAATGGTTCGCAATAAATTAAACCAAATATTTGATTGGAAATAAATTTACTTAAATTAAGCTTACTAATATTAAAAAATGCGAAAGTTTCTGAACATAGTAGTTAGGTATGTTTGTTACTCTTTTAAGAATATATTAATATTATTGGAAAAATACGAAGTTGAAATATATATTTAACCGATAGCATAAAGTTCTTAAAGTTCAATAATGAAGTTCTTCGTATTTATAGTTTTAGCGAGAACTTTGATCCAGTTATTTTTAAAATATAATACTTTAAATTAAAAAACACAGTAAAATACGAACGTATACACGTCGTACGCAGTATAATTTTACGAATACGAGTACGAGTACGTTTTCTTTGACCGATAAAGTAGTATATTTAGACGTACCTATAATTAGTAGTAGAGTTATATTTCCTCTGAGCCGGTATACTTTCTGAAAATATATGCTAAGAGTATAAAACTAGTTCTGGAATTAAGAATATTACATGGACGTATTCAAAATTAGATTTATTACAATATATATTTACTAATCAAAGAATATAGAAATTTTGAAAAATATCGAAATTTGGAACTCGTATGAAATTGTCTAAGAAATTTTATAATCTATTTAGTAATCGTCGATACTTGTCACGAAAGAGTTGTAGAACTACTAATAGAGTTGTATAAAGGGTTGCCGTATTCTTTCTAAGAGCTACAACAAAGTTTAAATGTAAAAGTTAGCGTGTTCATGTTCGTATTGAGACAACTAGAAAACGGATTCAGAAAAACGGCTTGGTGAAAAGCTCGCTTGGTGAGAAGTGCGTGCTGGATTGGATTGGAAAAGTTTCATCACGGCCTTTAGTTCAGTTTAGGTGCTAGATGTTTAAGCAAATGCTAGCAAATTGGATAAGTTGTTATTGCGTTTAAGTATTAGCACAGATAAGATAATACAAAATAAAAATACATTACGCTATATGTTGAAAACTAACGGGTTATGTCGTTAGTGCAGCATTGATAGTACCTAATTAATTCGTTTTTCAATTTATAATAACAGAGTATACCATATAAAAAGAGACTATCTATGCTTAAGTACCTTAAATAAATGCGCAAGAGATTGGTTTTATCTTTTATTTATCTAAATTAAAATGTTAATTTTTTCAATTAATGTCTCTCGTAATTTAGCCGGTTACATAGGATATGCGAATGTTAAATACGTAATCGGCTAAATTACGAGAGACATTTAATAACAACATAAATTCAAGTAGGTATTATACATACATTGTACTTATTCAAGGGTTAGTATCTATTTTACCAACAGAAGCAGAAACTAAATATAATTTGTAAGCTGTCAAATTCACAAGGTGGCTGTGACAAACCTTTGAAATTAATTCTTGTGTACAACTCTAGGAAATAGAATTTAAAATGTTTCTTTGGTGCAGCTGTCTGTAGTATTTGCACAAACAAGTCAAGAAATGGAAAATTTCATAGCCTCAGGTAGGAACAAAATTTCGGCATGAGTTCAGACGGTACATAAGAATAAACTTGAGTCGTACTTTACTAATGTGAACAAAAATCTCATTTAGTCGAGATAAAGATTTTGTGACGACTAAAATTTAATTGTTATAAATACTTTTTCGTTGAATCTTATCGCTATTAAAAGAATTTGTACTAACTTTGCTTCTAACTTGTATTAAGTTTACTGGTTAACATGTGATGTAAATTATTCTGAGAATTTCAAAAAATTATATGTCACAATAAATAAAAATAACGTAAAGAGTTATATGTAAATTCTAACTTAATTCTTATTATCGTGACCGTAAAATTTTGCATAGATCTACATAATGTTTAAGATGAGATGGAGGAAAGAGGGGAATTTTTACCCGACCATATAAACAAAGCAGCAGGAATAGCTTAGTAGCTTCAATAAGTTAAAATCTATTCAAATATCGAACAATGCTTTAAAAGTAATCAATAAAATGGACGTTAATTTACTTCCTGGGTCCAACATTAATTACAAAAAGTTTACTAAAAACAATTTACGGTGCTTAAAATCTTTCTTAAATTTGTTTTCGTTCTTTGAAATTACTTAAAAATATTGGCATATTTTGATGTTTATCAAGCTGGAAGAACACGAAACTTTGTAAGTAGATATTATCGAAATAATTTCATTGACAATAAAGCTGTAATCATTTTCATGACTTTAAACTTCCTATCCATTATATACTGTTGGACACATGTCTAAATACTAAGCCATCGTCATGTACCGACTTTCTAAAATGGTTTCGAGATCAGCACTTTCGCATATTCTACACA